ATATATATATATATATACATACATATATATATATATTATATATATATATATTTATATATATATATATATATTAATATATATATTATATATAGTATATATATATATATATATATATATATATATATATATATATATATATATATTAATATTATATATATATATATATATATAATAGTATATATATATATATGATATATAATATATATTAATAAATTATATATATTATATATATATATATAATATATATATATTTATATATATATATATTAATATATATATATATTAATATATATATTATATATATATATATTAATATATATATATATATATATAATATATTAATATAATATAATATAGAATATAGATATATATATATATATATATATATATATATATATAATATTAAAATAAATATATATATGTACGTGCCGAATAAGCAAACTTCGCTCTTGGCTTAAATAGCAAAGCTCATCTTTTGCCATATAGACAAGTGAAAATCATTGTAATGCAATAATATTCGCCAAAATCATTCTGAACCAACGAAAAGAAAAATATTTCACTGTGTTTGTTTAGTATGCAATTATTAGAAACAAATCAAATAACATATAATTGTTGGGGTTAGGCAAAAATTAAATTTGTTCTGTTACAATAGGTTAGGTAAATTTCTAAGATTTGGTGCAAATATAGATTTTTACATTTAACATTAATGAAAAAAATTATCCTTTAAACGATAAGAAAAATTTTAGAAAGGACTTAATTTTATACGAGTTTCTTGCTAATTGACCAGTTATACATATTCGCACGGACCATATATATATATATATAATATATATATATATAGATATATTAATATATATATATTATGAATATAAGATATATATATAGATAATATTATATAATATAAATATATATATTAATATATATAAAATATATATATATAATATATATTAATATTATATATATAATATAATATAATATAAGATATATATATAATATATATATATATAATATATTAATATATAATATTTATATAATATATATATATAAATATATATATATATATATAATTAATATATATATATATATAATATATATATATATATATATATTTATATAATATATATATATATATATATAATATATATCTAATATGATATATATTATATTAATATATATATATAATTATATATTAATATATATAGATATTATATTAATATTATATATATATTTATATATATATATATATATTAATAATATATATATAATATATATATATATATATTATATTAATGATATATATATATAAAAAATTTATTTTATATGTATATATAATATGATATATATATAATATATATATATATATTAATTCTATATAATATATATATATATATAATATATATATATATATAGTAATATATATATAGATATATATATATATATATATATATATATATATAAATAGTTTAATATATATACTATTTATAGTATATAGATATATTCATATAATATATATATAGTATAATTTTATATATATATATATATTAAATATAATAGAGATATATTATAATATAATATTTAATATATAATATATATTAAATATATATATATATAATAATATATAATATATTTATATTAATATATATATATATATATATATTTATATATAAAATATATATATTTTTTATTTTATTAGTCCATACATGTAGAGGTAAAGATGGATTAGTGAAGAAATTGTTTTGACTAATTAAAATGGCTATGGATTTTTTTTTTTTATTTTTTTTTTTTTAAGGTATTTTTGGTCTCTTTGGAAGATTACCCAAAAATGAACGATTATATTGAATTTTGCTGCAGAAAATGGCAAGTTTGTTGTGTCGTCCGTAGTTCTGTGAATGTTAGTGGCGAGTTTGTGTACTTGTGTATCTGTCCTGTGGACGGTAGTTTGTGTACTTGTGTACCTGTCCTGTGGACGGTAGTTTGGTACTTGTGTAACTGTCCAGTGACGTAGTTTGTGGTACTTGTGTACCTGATCCTGTGGACGGTAGTTTGTGTACTTGTGTATCTGTCCTGTGGACGGTAGTTTGTGTACTTGTGTATCTGTCCTGTGGACGGTAGTTTGTGTACTTGTGTATCTGTCCTGTGGACGGTAGTTTGTGTACTTGTGTATCTGTCCTGTGGACGGTAGTTTGTGTACTTGTGTATCTGGTTTAGAAAGACACGTAAGCAAACATTATAACATATTTATTACAAACGTTGCGTTCCTGGACCTTGATCACCTTTCTAACTTACAGAGTAGAGAAGACAGTAGGCAGAGGTTGTTTTGATAAGGACCTGCCTCGCATGGGCCAGTAGGCCTTCTACAGTCTTCCTCCATTCTTATGTTCTTATGACATTCCTCAGGTCACGTGCGTCACATCTCACTCTCCGCCTATATATATAATGTCTTTCTACCTCTGTATGTTAGAAGTGATCAAGGTCCCAGGACCGAAACGTTTTCTAATAAATATGTTATAGTGTTTGCTTACGTGTCTTTCTAAACCAACTTGTCGGTATTTATTTCCAAGGTTTATACCAACTTGTGTATCTGTCCTGTGGACGGTAGTTTGTGTACTTGTGTATCTGTCCTGTGGACGGTAGTTTGTGTACTTGTGTATCTGTCCTGTGGACGGTAGTTTGTGTCCTTGTATACCTGTCCTGTGGACGGTAGTTTGTGTACTTGTGTATCTGTCCTGTGGACGGTAGTTTGTGTACTTGTGTATCTGTCCTGTGGACGGTAGTTTGTGTACTTGTGTATCTGTCCTGTGGACGGTAGTTTGGACCTGTGATCCACTGCCTTGAATTAAGCCTGAATACCATCCAACCCCCACCCCCACAGGTGCAGTATAATCCCTACCGGTTTAGCACTTTCCCGGGGATGGTGTCCCTTTAACTTTGAGTGTATAGAAGTGCGACCTTTTTTTTTTTTTTTGTTACTCTTGAGCAATGTTTGAATTTATCGAAGTTTGTGACTCACTAAAGTATCTTAATTTTTTTAATTATTCCTTGAATTGGGGTTCCTTGGCCCTATTTTTTTTTTTATCGCAATGTTTTCCGTTCAGTGATGCTGAGACCACAACTGAGGCTTCCACTCAAGCCTCCGCAACGGTAGCCAGAGTTGTTGTCCCGCCCCGGGACACTGTGTTGTTGTCCCGCCCCGGGACACTGTGTTGTTGTCCCGCCCCGGGACACTGTGTTGTTGTCCCGCCCCGGGACACTGTGTTCAGATTAATCAATCACTTAAGGTGACCTAGAGATGCATCTTTCATGTATGATGCCAATAATTTGCCACCGTTGTGGTCAGGCTGATGGGACGGTAAACTCGAGATATCACACTCTCGCCGACAAGGTAAAACTTGCGATTTTGGCTTAAATAGCAACGCTCTTCTTGCCGAATAAAGCAAGCGAAAATTTGTGAATGCAATAATTTTGCAAAAATCATTCTGGACCTAACGAAAAAATATATTTCATTGTGTTTGTTTATTATTAAATTATTGTAAACGTATCTCAGATATATTTAGTTGGAATAGGCTAAAATCGGACTTGCTATAATAAGGTTAGATAAGTTTTCTAAAGCTTTTTTGATATAAAATTATAAATTTTTACAGTAACACGAATGTATTTTTTTTATTCGCCGGTACTCTCCCGGCTCAGGTCTTTTCCAAGTAGTGGTGACCCGGCCTTGGCTCCCTATCTGGGGAGTATCTCGAGACCTAAGTCTCCCATGGGAGGAGGTACAAGTACCTCCTCACCTTTGGGACCAACTGTCCCCAGGCCTAGCCACAGTCCCCGCCCTCACGGGGCTCGTAGGGAGAAACTAGGCCTCTGGTCTGCCATCTGCCCCGCCCCAAAGGGCTCGTGGGGATGGCAGTCTTATGAGCTGCAGGTGGTAGCAAACTCAGCCTATATCCAATCACGAATGTATTTTTTTTTTTTAATGTAATTTATTATTATTAAATATTAGCCGGTATTCTCCCGGCCCGGGCATTTTCCAAGTGGTGGCCCGGCCTTGGCTCCCTCTTTAGGGAGTGTCTGAGACCGAAGTCTCCCATGGGAGGAGGCACAAGTACCTCCTCATCTTTGAGACCAACTGTCCCCAGGCCTAGCCACAAGCTAGGCCTCTCTGGTCTGCCATCCCCTCCCCAAGGGGGCAAATGGGAATGACAGTCTTATGAGCTAAAGGCTCGGGCTCAGGCACCTACCCTACCCTAGAAGGGTTAGGCATGGTGTCGATCTAGAATGTATTTTTTTTTTTTTTTTTTTTATTCGCCGGTATTCTCCCGGCCGAATGTAACTATCAATATACATAACTTGTGTCTGCTTGTGGTTATATACACGTTTTGTACACGCTTATGTAAACCAAATTAATTTAACCCAAATTTCTTTAATTTTAAATATACATGAAGAGAAACTTTAAAAAATAGAAATGTTGAAAAGTTAGCCATTTAGTAACGCTACAAAAAGGTAGCGACGTTACAAAATGAGAATAGTTTGCCCAGTGCCAGCGGCGCAGGAAAATGTTATTCGTGAAGTATTTAAAAAGAAATAGTTACCCCTAACCCTCCTAAATATAACATTTTCTACGAGGCGAGTCGCACAGTTTCAGAAGTAATTTTTAAATTTTGCTGCCGATATCGCTGTTATAATGTCACTGGGACGTTGCGTCCATAGGAAATAAATGATTAAAAACATTCACTGCAAAAAGAAAACTTATTTTCAGAGGTAACAATTATTATTTTGATCACGTCATGAATGACTAAAGCTCTACACAGTGAAACGTGAGTTGATAAAGCTCTACATAGCGAAAATTCCGAGTCATAAAGCCTGAGAGAGAGAGAGAGAGAGAGAGAGAGATTATTATTATTATAATCAAAAAGAAGCGCTAAGCCACAAGGACTATACAGCAGAGAGAGAGAGAGAGAGAGGAAAGGGAGACTTAATTTAAGCCATGTTTTGGTCACCCACAGATGCGGTCGGACGTCCTGGTGGGTGTGGTGGGTGGGCGGCAGCCGCCCACGCCTGAGGACTACCCGCCCCGGGAGGAGGTGGGCGGGGCCTGGCTGTACCAGGTGCACGACCTCACCCTCAAGACACTCAGAGCACGGGAGCACGCCGTCAAGAACGCCCTACCTCACGGTACGTATTGCACGGAGAGGTGGGGGGGGTACGGTCGAGGGATTCTTCGGAGGATGTTGTCGGGGGTGAACGCTCCCGCGGCCCGGTCCATGACCAGGCTTCGCGGTGGTTTAGGGCCTGATCAACCAGGATGTTACTGCTGGCCTCACGCAGTCTAACTTACGAAGCACACCCAGGCTGGTCAGGCACTGACAGCCTTTGACGAACAAGTGTACCTGAGGACAGGTATGTAGCAAGGAGGTTCGTGGTAACAGAATACTATATAGATACCAAGAACATTAGGTTTCTGTGTACAGTGGGAACACCCTCAGTGTGTCACTGACAAGCATCCCAGGCAGTGCCAAACTTCCCAGGCATTACCAAGCATCCCAGGCAGTGCCAAGAATCTCAGGCAATGTCAAGCATCCCAGGCAGTGCCAAGCATCCCATGCAGCGCCAGGCATCCCATGCAGTGCCAAACATCCCAGGCAGTGCCAAGCATCCCATGCAGTGCCAAACATCCCAGGCAGTGCCAAACATCCCATGCAGTGCCAAGTATCCCTAACTGTGCCAAGCATCCCTGGCAGTGCCAAGCATTCCAGGCAGTGCCAAGCATTCCAGGCAGTGCCAAGCATTCCAGGCAGTGCCAAGCATTCCAGGCTGTGCCAAACATCCCATGCAGTGCCAAGCATCCCAGACAGTGCCAAGCATTCCTGGCAGTGCCAAGCATCCCATGCAGTGCCAAGCATCCCTGGCAGTGAGTAATGGTCACACACTCAAGTATGATGCTAGGCTTGACTCACATCCTACCCCCTCTCTCTTACCCTCTCTACCCTCTCCCCCTCCCCATTTCCCCTTTCCCCATCCCCCATGCCCTATTTCCATTCCTTTCCCCTCTCACTCCCCCCTCCCTTTGTTTCACTGTCACCTGACCCCCCTCCCCTCTAACCCTCTCCCTCCCCTCCCCTCTCTACTTCCCCTCCCTACTTCCCCCCCCCTTCCCTCCCCTTCCCCTCTCCCCTTCCCCTCTCCCCTTCCCCTCCCTACTTTCCCCCTCTCCTCCCCTCTCTACTTCCGCTCTCCCCCTCTCCTCCTCTGTAAAAGAAAAATGTTGATAACTTGTGTAAATACAGTACATGTACGCACCTTGTATTCAGGTGGTCGCTATACACAGGTGAGGGTGTTTGATAGGTGGTCGCAATACAGAGGTAAGGGTGTATGACAGGTGGTCGCTATACACAAATAGAGGTGTATGACAAGTGCTAGTTATACACAGGTGGAGGGTATGACAGGTGGTCGCTATACACAGGTGGCGTAGGCTACACGGGGCACACGAGTGTTGTATGGTGTATACGGAAGCTTGGGTTTATCTCTCTATATCCGCGTTCCAAGGACGCTGTCACCCATCCATGTGTAGTGGTGCTGGTGGTGGTGGTAGTGATGGTAATTGTGGTAGTGGTGATGGTGATTGTGGTGGTGGTAGTGGTGATATGGTGGTGGTGATTGTGGTGATGGTTATGGTGGTGATTGTGGTGGTGGTAGTTATGGTGGTGGTGGTAGTTATGGTGATTATGGTGGTGATGGGGATGGTGGTTGTGTGATGTGGTTGTGGTGTGGTAGGTTGTGTTGTGGTGGATGGCTGTTTGTGATGAGGATGGTTTGTTTTGTTAGTTGTTTGTGGGTTCCCCCCCTTGGGACGTAGCGTTTCGTTTCACAACCCAAGCGCCCACGGGTTCGATTCCGAGTCATGCAAAACAGTATCTGAAGTGTACCCACTGTTTATGGCTGTTGACAAGCAGTAAGTAGTACCTGGTGTTAGTTACTTGTTGGATCGCATCCTCCAGGAGGAATCTGCCTTTGTTCATATGTACCAGTGACGTGTAAATGTATTGTGCGAAGATGCGTTAGAATCTCATAATTTTCATGTCAAATTAGGTCCAGCCTAGAGGCCAGGGTCCGTCGCGGTGCCAGGGTCAGTCCGTGCCATGGTCAGTCCGGTGCCAGGGTCAGTCCGGTCCAGGTCATCCCATTGCCAGGTCCAGGTTCAGTTCAGGGTCAGGTTCAGTCCAGGGCCAGACACATCTATGCCCTCTGGCACAGGCAGATAATTTCCCAAATTTGCGAATCTCTAGCTGGTATTATTTCTCTAATACATAAAAAGAAATGATGCAAGGTATATATAAAAGTGGGCATCTGTTAGTTGGTGTATACCGTTTAATATAAAGGGAGGGATGTAAGTTTTGGACCTAAGTCTGCTTACTGGAAGCCCTCTCACAGTACCATCTTCCCGCTCAACTCTTCTTCTCTGTCCAGTGCCCGCCTCATCCCTTACGCTGTCCCTCAGGACCCCTTTGTGTTTCACCCCCAATTCTTTGTGTCCTCCCCCTTTCTGTTGTCCTCCCTCCTTTGCTTGTCTTCCTCTTCCCTTTCTTCACTCAGCCTCATTCTTAAGTAATAGTAACTCCAGTTTCTGCTGAAGACAACCATTACGGGTACAGACAAACTTAAGAAGTCACTGACTGAACGTTTCCACACACGTGTTTTATTATTCGTTGTTATACCATTTATACAATATCTTATAAGACTAGTGTAGCACCCCCACTGTGGGTCTTCCAGCATGTGAAACTATATACAAAGTAGCAGCACAACTGTGGTCTTATCCCCTGGTGTAACTATCTTATAAACTAGTGTAGCAGCACACTGTGGGTCTCCCACTGTGTAACTATCTTAATAACAATTTTAGCACACAACTGTAGGTCTTCCCACTGTAACTATATATAGAATAGCGTAGCACCACACTGAGTGCATTCCTAATTTTGACTTAGACCCATACATTAATAATTCTTCTTAACTGTTGCACGCCTCCTCGATATTCCTTCCCTCGTTCCCTTCTTCGTATATATATTCTTCTCACTTCTTTTTTCTTTCCTTCTCTCTGCTTTCCCATTTTGCGGATAGGACGTATAAAATTAAGTGGAATATGGTGAGAGATAGTACAGTGTTGAGACAAAAGTGAATAGTGAGACACACATATACAGGAGGCGAGGGATCCATACATAAATCTTTAAGAAGAGGAAGTATAAGAGCTCATGTAACATGTTAGTAAGAGTCAAGACTAGTAGTGACCAATGAATAGGCGGGGTCAGGAGCCAGAATCGATCCCAGCAACCATATAGGTGATACACACTCGTGATAGAGCATCTCTCTCTCTTCGTCTCTCTCTCTCCTCCTCCTCTCCTCTCTCTCTCATTCTGTGTCTCTCTCTCTCCACTCATGGTGTCCACTGTTGCTGCAACGCTAGATAATTGCTACCATACCGTAACCTGTGGCAAGTTGTGTAGCTTATGTCCCTGTGTTCAGGTGAAGTTTGGCATCGTCGAGGTGACGGGGGGGGGGGGGGAAAAAAAAAAAAAAAAAACCCCCAACCAGGGAGGGTGACGGACACAGGGAGGTGGTGAGACCCTTCCTCAAATAGTGAGTCAACCTCAAACTCTTCAATCAGTACATCATTAATTCCAACTCCTTTTACGTCCGCTTAGTCCTTCCAGATTTATCAAAAAACCTCAGTTGTGCACTGTACGCTTGGGCACTGCACCTGTGTGTCACTGCATCATTGTGGCACTGCGATCAGTTTTGTGAGCACTGTATAATTTTAGGCTGGAATAAAGCTGTACTTTAACATCTCCATTCAAGCAGGTGAAATTAACAGCTCAATTGTACAGAGAACCTTTTACTGCACATACTCAAAATCACACACCTCAATCACTGGGAACGCTTGAAAGCACTTTGACTTGTACTCGCTGGAACGCAGGCGAAGAGATGTATCATAATACGACACTTGGAAAATCCTAGAAGGAATGGTTCCTAATCTGCACACAGAAATCACGTCCTACGAAAGTGAAAGACTGGCAGCGATGCAAAAATGCCCCCAATAAAAAAAAGGGCTGCATTAAAGTACCCTAAGAGAATACACAAGTTCCGGGGCCGCACGACAGTTCAACAGGCCTCCCACCATACGTAAGGGAATTGCCAGTAGCTACTGCTGCCTTCAAAGAGGAGCCTGGACAGAAATAATTGCCGGATCGCCGGGCTTTGTTTCGTACGCTAGACTACGTGCGGCCAGTAGTAACAGCCTGTTGATCAGGGGCCCTGATCCACCGATAGGCCTGGTCGTGGGACAGGGCCGAAGGGCGATTGATGCCCGGAAGATACCTTCCCAGGTAGACTCCGAAGAAGGCAGGTAGAATCAGATGGTGGCGACTGCGTATCAATTGTGGCCCTTGCGGGGGGGGTCGAACAGTGGATGCTTGGCTCTCGCCTGAGTTATATTAGACAACCAAGTACTACTACTCTTGGATCCTGTTGTCTGTGTGGTGTGTGAGTGTTGTTGCGTGTGTGTGTGATGTTTTATCTCTGTTACTCTTTGATGCGGTGTAAGAAAGTTCACAATGGAAAATAAAAGAAAATAAGTGAGAAAAAAGATGAGGTGAAGAGGAAGATGATAAGAGGAAGGAGGAGAAGAAGGTAAAAGTAGAGGAGGAGAGTACGAGAAGACAAGGAGGACAGCACTTGCCCATGATCTCCGGTATAGACTTCCTCTTACCCCATCCAACCCCACCCCCTTACCTTCCTTCCCCCCAAACCCCATCCCAACCCCCACCCCCTGGCCTCCTTTCCCCCAAAACTCTCTCCCTTTCTCTCTCGTCTGCTTTAAGGATGGTGAACTCACAACATCCGCACTAGTATACTTCCGGTGAGCTGTTCTCTCACTCCCGAGGTATTGACTATCCCAGAGCACCCCAGTGAGAACCGCTCTCTCCTCTCTCTCTCTCTCTCTCTGTCACTCTCTCTCTGTATTGTATCTATCTGTATATCTATCTATCTATCCATATTATAAATTCAAAGAAGTAACTGAGCTTCAAGAACAATGGTTTATTGTGAAACAAAACCACGAGTCTTAGATCAATTCTTACATCACCATCTTCAGGAAATTATGTTCCGGACAGGACGTGATTTTTTAC